CGACTATATAATCGCTGGAGATTTGAACCATTGCTTTCTCAATTAGGACGAGAATAAAGTAACTAATAATAATATCGTAGGTTCCTCGAAGGATTGTTATGATGTTTTAATTTCTATTTATTCATTTTTACTTCTCGATGTTTGACCATGGCCGACTAGTATAAAGATTATGGCCTGTCCAAGAGGTACGATACGTGTTGCCATCTATTAATAATTACACTTAATAATTTAGCAAAATTTTAATTTGACTTGACATTATGGGACTTCAAAACGTGTAATGGTGGTTTGTTTCGGTATGAATGCCTTTGTGCCTTTCAAAAGGTGTTAATAATTCTTTTGTCGTTTTTGAATTATTAATAGATGGCAGCACGTAATGTACCTTTGACATTCCTTTGGACAGGCCATAATCTTTATACTAGTCGGCCATGGTTTGACGTATCAAAAATTGTCAAAAATTTTCAAAAGCCTACGTTTAAAATGTTCGCAGTTAATTTTAGGTCCCTTGGTTTTTATTTTCGGATAAAATTACAGAAATCTGGTGTTTTGCTGCTGGATGAAGTGGAAAAAATATTTTGAAGTTTTATTAGTGTTTTATTTTTTACGAATTTGAAAAAGTCTGCAGTGTTTGGGTACCCATGGTGTATTATTTTGAGAGCCCATGGAGATTTTTTTGGTTAAAGCAATTTGAGGGACTTTCATGTTCAATGTTCAATGTTCAATTTTTGGAAAATTCTGACCAGACCTATTTTTGAGTAAAAATTTGAAAGTACTTTAGAGCGTCTAGTGTCTTTTCTTATCATAATTTAATTACATTTCTTAGAGGATACGTCATTTAGCAAAATCGGTCTTATTTTGGCAAATACTAGTCCGACCCACCCTCCCGCCCTCTCTTTTCTTAGAGGGTATCTCATTAGCTAAAATCAGTCCTCTCTTAGCAGCTAATAGCTCCACCCACCCACCCTGTGGATGTGGATTTTGGCAAATGACATACCCTCTAAGAAAAGAGAGGGTGGGTGGGCGGGGTTAGTACCTGCTAAGATAAAATTGATTTTGGCAAATGAGATACCTTCCAAGAAAAGAGAGAGTGCGTGGGTAGATCTACCACCTGCTAAAATAAGACCATTTTTGGCACTCCCCGCCTTAGAGGGTATGTCATTTATCAAAATCAGTTTTATCTTAGCAAGTACTAGCCGCGCCCACCCACTCTCGCTTTTCTTCGATGCTATGTCATTTGCCAAAATCAGTCTTACTACTAGCGCGAGCCAGCCACCCTGTGGGTTTGGATTTTGGCAAATGACATACCCTCTAAGAAAAGAGAGGGTGGGTAGGCGCGGTTAGTACCTGCTAAGATAAAATTGATTTTGGCAAATGAGATACCTTCCAAAAGAGAGAGTGGGTGGGTGGATCTACCACCTGTTAAAATAAGACCATTTTTGGCACCCCCCGCTTTTAATTTTCTTAGAGGGTATGTCATTTATCAAAATCAATTTTATCTTAGCAAGTACTAGCCCCGCCCACCCACCCTCGCTATTCTTCGATGCTATGTCATTTGCCAAAATCAGTTTTATCTTAGCAAGTGCTAGCCCCGCCCACCCACCCTCGCTTTTCTTCGAGGCTATGTCATTTGCCAAAATCAGTCTTATGTTAGCAACTACTAGCGCCAGCCACCCATTCTGTAGGTGTGGATTTTGGCAATTGAAACACCCTCTAAGAAAAGAGAGGGTGGGTGGGCGGGGTTAGTACCTGCTAAGATAAAACTGATTTTGGCAAATGAGATATCTTCCAAGAAAAAGGAGGGTGGGGGGGGGGGGCTAGTACCTGCTAAAATAAAACCGATTTTGGCACACCCCCCCCTTTAATTTTCTAAGAGGAAATGTCATTTATCAAAATCAGTTTTATCTTAGCTAGAACTAGAATAATCGTGTTTTTTCCTTATCTTAAATTTTCAAATATCATTGATCTACAAGTTAATGTCGCTGTTGATACCATCTTTGATAACAGTCTCCACGATATTTCGTAATCGTGGTCTCTTTCTAATTTTTATGGTTTCCTTCTCACTTCTGAAAGTCAAATATTTGACTTTGCTAATGGGAATTATCATCAGTTTAAACTATCTGACCTCTGTGGATTGAGAAAGTAGTTGTATTCTTGACCTTTATGTGGATAATAAAGTTCTAGTTTTTTTATAATATTCGCTTCGATGGTATCACTAGATTTATTCCAATAGAAACTGCTATACTGAATGGTTCATCATATCCTAGAGGATGAAATACAGAATAAAAAAATCTGATTCGGTCATTCAGTTTTTCGTAAATCGGGCACAATTGAGGATTACCTTTATTTTAAATCGTTGAGGGATCAATGCAAAAAAGTTAATAAAGACCTCTATAAATCATAATTAACTAAAGTTAACCACAGTTTGTCGAGTAACTCTCAATATTTTCGCAAATTTATCAAAGATAAAAATAAATGAGGTGGTTGCCCAAAGGAAATAGGACAAGAAATTTCTAACTTATTAGCTCAGTTTTTTTCTTTTGTATATGAAAAGGACAACAGCAATTTTAACCTTAATTTTGTTACGAACATGGAAGTAAATGAAAATGGTTTAAAGGTGTTTGAACACATTTTCGAAATAAAATCCTCTTCCAGTTATGGTCCAGATAGGTTTCCAAGCATTTTCTTAAAAATGTGAGTGTTCACAATTTCTCATGCTATTGCAATCGTCACTAAATGAATGCAGGTCTGCAAAAGTATGGGAAAACAGTTATATAATTCCTATTACTTGCGGGGCGTAAGGAAGTATTGTAATCAAGTCCATTGGGCGACTTGCCAATTTCATGTTTTCTCGAAGTTTCATGACTCCTAGACCACGAAAAAAAGTCTCCCGTTTCCAAATCATCGCACTCGGAAGATGACAAATACAGAACTAATGTTTATTGGAAAAATATATGTATAATAATATAAGATAAGCTTACGTGTATTAATCACAGCAAAATTTTGTTGTTCATATGGTAGTTACAAACTCTAAAAGAGGCAGAATAAATCAGTGCCACTTGAATATACATACGAATATGAATCATTAAGGCGCTGTATTATTTATGAATAAAATTACATTTATTTTGTACCTTACTACATTTCATCGTTTGTCTTTATATTAGTTCTCAACCGTAAGCAGACTATTGTATTGTAATAGGGTTCAACCGCAGAACAACTTTCATATTTTGTGGACGTTTCGTCTAGAGTATGAAAAAATAGGTCTTCCGTTTCCGTCTGTCTATGGTATATCTGTCTGTCGTTTGTTGTCTGTGCTGATATTTGTTAGATAGATAACCTCCGAAACTACAGGACTGATTGCTATAAAATTTTACAGATATTTTTGAAATGTCGTGTAACTGTAACCAAAATTGATGTGAATGAATGGTTTGAAATCTTGCAAAGGTTTTAATAAGGTTGTTGTAAGCCTAATAAATTGTTAATAAAATTGATCTGCCTCCCCCCATTTGATGAAGTCATCTCAACTCTTTTATTTTAACTTATAGGATTCTTGTAAAGAAAATAAAATTAACAATATCAAATTCCGGAGTTTATCTAAGAAACTCCATTTATTTGATGGTACATCAGGGGCGAGGGAAGTTCTCTCTAAATATTTGTAACAATAGACCATTTTTTTTGTATTTATTATAATCTTTTTGAAAGAAAAGGAAATGTTTTGTGGGAGCAAAACTGCTCAAATTTTTTTCTACATTATAAAAATGGAAATGCTGGGTATAGAAAATAAATTAAATCAAACAATGTTACGAAATGGCTTTATGTTCAGGGTAACTGATTTATAACATTCTGAACAGAAGTTTCCTTCCTTTGTCAGAGTTATCAAACTGTTATCTACCTAAAATAAACTCCAACATTTATGAATAACATAATACGAAACTGAAAATTTTTCATACTCCCAATTCAAGCACACATCACTTTAATTGTAAATTCTCCTGTTACGTCGTTAACTAAGCATCGTTTACCTACAAACTTGCTATCAAACACAGACAATTTACTATTGCCTGAAATTAGTCTGTACTGCGTAAAATTAAGCAAGGACAAAATCGTTAAACTGTAATCAAATTTGACTCTCAGACTCTTCCGCTGCCAAACCGTCCAACACAAAGAAATTAACCCTAGCAGAAAACAAATGAAATTTACCGATAAATTGGTATCAGCAAATCAGCAGTTACAACTAAAGTCACTAGATCTACTATTACTTTTAGAAAGTACGGCAAACTGCCTGTGGTCGGAATTCGACAGAGAGGAACCTAACCTATGTGTTAAACAAAGATAGCGCGAGGCTAGTAATTTTCGCTATCAAATGTAGGAACTGTCAACGAAAGTTTGATGTGTTTACGATTTGAGGTTACGACAGACTGTACTAGAATTATCGAGTTAACGGACCGGAAAGAACACTATTCCAGTCCCAAAGTAACTCCAGCCCTATTCAACGAGAAAGTGTCACCGGTAACCAGCAAACAGTCGTGGAAGACGTGTTACCACCAAGGCAATTGATGACCAAATGACAGTAACAGGATCGCCATCCTGGAAGCAAAAAATACCTGCTGTCGAAAAGACGGAGCATAACAAGGACACAGATATATTTCTATTTCATAAAAGTTACTAATTGCCACACATTTCAAGATCGAGTCACATTAGTTACAACTCCTTGATTGAAAATAAAATTGAGGCAAGCCAGAAATCCAGCGTTAATGAAATTCGTATCTCCTGCTTTTACGTATTGTATATTTTACGAGGTTGTCCGGACAACGTAATAAGATTGTACAACATAATAATGCAGCGAAATTATGTTATATGTACGCGTCAACAAAAGAAATGAGACACATATTTGTATAAAGTCCCATATATCCGTTTTTAGCAAAGAAGTTAAGCGCATGCCAGATTGACAGTTTAGGAAGTGCTCTAATCCAGAGGATGTTAAGTTCAAAACAGACGGTGCGCGCCGATATCGTCAGTAGGTTCGGTGGCTATTCCAGAGGAATGTAATCCCTCGGAGTTACAAAAGTACGTTTAAAATTTGGCGAAGTCGCGTAAATTTAAAAGGAGATTTGAAACTTCACAACAACTTGGACCTTTTCGGAGCTGTTTATACGTAAGTTTTATGTACCGCTTCGTTAATTTACGTAAAAAAATGTTGTAAAATATATTAGTTATTTTTAAATTATAGACACCTTTGCAGTAATTAATTAAATTAATGTAAGACAGTTTTCAAGGATTATAACTTTACAAATAAAGTCTTCTTGAAAACAACAAGGAGTGAAATATAACTTTAACATTTATATTAGCATAATCCGTAATTAACTTTTGATAATCAAACTAAAAATATTTAGAAGGTTTACAAATAATGTCTTACTAAATTAATGCTAAATCAAATGCAATTATCTACCTCAAACATTTACAACGTTAAATCTGTCGCTACTAAATTATGCATTAATTTTCACGTAAATTACCCCTGTTAAGTAAGAATTCTTGAATTCGTTTCAATGAATATGAATGTGCCCTATCATCGTTAAAAAACGCAACAAAATAGCGTCGTCGTTTAACATTATCGTGATTAGATCGATTTTTCCCAAAAAGATAAACTATTGTTCAAAAGTTTTCTAATTAACCTTTAATCCGAATATTTGCCGAAAGTGGAAAACACGATCAAACGGCCAATTAATTCTTAACAGCGAACCCCTTTCATGTCGACATTAAATTTTTATAACAAATCAATTAATTCGTAACAAATAATCATATGAATGTATGTTTAACCGAAACATCAGATTTTATTTTCAAAACACATCAGGTTTTTTTCACGACTATTTGTTTTGCAACAATGCTTAATTGGGATGTTCGCTTTTTTTATGAACCATATTTTGTTTAGTTTTATTATTTTGTTGAAATTTTCTTGAATTTAACTTTTCAAAGGCCTCAAGTTAATGAAATATCTTTTGTTCTTTACAATAGCTGTATTTATTTAACAATTTTGTTAGTCAGTGGCGTATTATTTATTTCAGAGACGAGACCCTAACCACAATAGAGCTCCGTATTTTATAAAGAATAAATAGTTATTAATATTTTCTAAAGAAAAGAAAAAATAAACAAAAACGACAGAAATAAAATAAATATTTCAGCAATATATCAATTTAATAAAATACGTCATCTATGATTTTTTTGTTTGCTTTTATCCTTCTGTTAAAAATTTTCGCAGTCTACATTATATACTTAGTTATGCTTTTATTTTGATCTCAACAACCGTAAAAGTAAAGCTAAAAAAAAAAATTGGTCTAAAGAGTTTAGACAGTACTTCCCTCGCTGTCGGAAACTTGACGACTGCATGGCTATTGTGTTTTTTTCTCATTACATTTTTGTAGTGGGAATTTAAAATTGCGATGACGTCATCAACATTTTTGCAAGGACACGGACATCAGTTGGGATAGATGTAGTGTAATACTAAGAATAAAATTATTGTATTCGCAAATTTTCGGGAAAATGAATTGGGTCGTTTTGAATATTGATTTTTTATAATCAATAAAATAACGAAACAATTTACTCACGTATACGGCAACTGAAAATCGTTTATGTATAAACATTCTTAATTTAAGATGACAAGCGTAACAGCATACGTGAGAGCCAAACAGAGAAACTGTAAACAAAACGACCATCGGTTTTATTGCTTCGACTTCCGCTTATTATATAAAACATTGGGTTTTATTTTAATTCTTGACGGTGAAATTCAAAATTGGTTGATTATAAACATGTCTATTTCACATTCGCGGAACCAAGTGAACAAATGCAGGTCTGTAATGTTAAAGTCGATGTAAATAAGCGTGCTACCCTTATGTTTCAACCGAGTTTTTCCTTTAACAAATTTTGTGTCTACCAAATTGGGTTGGTTGGGGTGTAATACTAATAATAAGTGTTGCCTTTAATTTAATCAATAAAATAAATTGACTTCATTAATTTTTTTTGAACCACCTCTTAAGAAAATCTAAAAAATATGAATGGAATGATAAATCACAAGTACAAACTCATCATATTTTTTGCATTTTAGATAGGATTTATTCAGCAAAATTTAAGGGTGACGTCATCAATTTTTTTAGGAGGGATGAACAAATACATTTTGAACAAAAGTTTACCATGCTTATAATAACTTTAAAATATACCCAAGATTTCAAAGCATTCGGTTTTCTAATTCCTGATTAAATCGATAAAATAAATTCACGCCTTCATTAATTTTTTTGAGTCACCCTGCATATGCAAATCCAAGAATATGATTGGAATGATAAATCACAAGTACAGACTCATCATATTTTGTACATTTTAGATACGATTTATTCGGCAAACTTTTGAGCTGACGTCATCAGTTTTTTGTAGAAGATAACCAAATACATTTTGACTAAAAATTTATTATGCTCTTTATAACCTTAAAACATCTGCAAGATTTCAAAGCATTCGGTTTTGTAGTTCCTGATTAAATCAATAAAATAAATTTACGCATTCATTAATTTTTTTGAGTCACCCTGTATATGCAAATCGAAAAAATTTGAATGGAATGATAAATCACAAGAAGAGACTCACCATATTTTGTACATTTTAGATAGGATTTTTTCAGCAAAATTTTGTGGTGACATCATAAATTTTTTAGGGGGGACGACCAAATGCGTTTTGATCAAAAATTTACCATGCTTATGATAATTTTAAAATATCTTCAAGATTTCGAAGCATTCGGTTTTGTAGTTCCTGAGTAAATCAGTAAAATAAATTTACGCTTTCATTTATTTTCTTGAATCACCCTGTATATGCAAATCCAAAAAATATGAATGGAGTGATAGATCACAAGTACAGACTGATCATATTTTGTACATTTTAGATATGATTTATTCGGCAAATTTTCGAGCTGACGTCATCAAGTTTTTGGAGGGGATAAGCAAATATATTTTGACTAAACATTTATTATGCTCTTTATAACCTTAAAACATCTGCAAGATGTCAGAGCATTCCGTTTTGTAGTTCCTGATTAAATCAATAAAATATATTTACGCATTCATTAATTTTTTTGAGTCACTCTGTATATGCAAATCCAAAAAATATGAATGGAGTGATAAATGACAAGTACAGCCTCATCATATTTTGTACATTTTAGATATGATTTATTCGGCAAACTTTCGAGCTGACGTCATCATTTTTTTGGAGGGGATAAGCAAATATATTTTGACTAAACATTTATTATGCTCTTTATGACCTTAAAACATCTGCAAGATTTCAGAGCATTCGGTTTTGTAGTTCCTGATTAAATCAATAAAATATATTTACGCATTCATTAATTTTTTTGAGTCACCCTGTATATGCAAATCGAAAAAATTTGAATGGAATGATAAATCACAAGAAGAGACTCACCATATTTTGTACATTTTAGATAGGATTTTTTCAGCAAAATTTTGTGGTGACATCATAAATTTTTTAGGGGGGACGACCAAATGCGTTTTGATCAAAAATTTACCATGCTTATGATAATTTTAAAATATCTTCAAGATTTCGAAGCATTCGGTTTTGTAGTTCCTGAGTAAATCAGTAAAATAAATTTACGCTTTCATTTATTTTCTTGAATCACCCTGTATATGCAAATCCAAAAAATATGAATGGAGTGATAGATCACAAGTACAGACCCATCATATTTTGTACATTTTAGATATGATTTATTCCACAAACTTTTGAGCTGACGTCATCAAGTTTTTGGAGGGGATAAGCAAATATTTTTTGACTAAAGATTTATGATGCTCTTTATAGCCTTAAAACATCTGCAACATTTCAAAGCATTCTGGTTAGCAGATTAAAAATTAAATTTCAAAATGTTGTTTTATAATTTTGATTTTTTTTTCAAAAATCTGGACGTTTCGGGTGAAAAGTCGATTCAGAGTTGTAAACTACATGTGTAGGACTATGTTATTTTATACAATTGAAAACCCATTTACCTATGTACAATTTTGAAGTGACGTCATCGCATTAGTGGTGGGGATGATTAGACAAATTTTGGTTGGCGTTCTACCATCTACATGATATTCTTAATATAAATACAAAATTTCACAACAATCGGTCGAGTACTTTCGGAGATTATCTGTCTAATAAAAATCCGGGACAACAGACGGACAGACGGACAGACGGACGGACAGACGGACAGACGGACAGACAGACGGAAATGGGAGACCTATTTCTTCGTCTTCTAGGGGTCATGAAAGATCGAGAAAACGTAAAAGTAGATAGTCGGCCGACGGACTCGATTACAATACTTCCTTTGCTTACGCTCGGGAAGTAAAAATATAAACGATTGTGTGTTATTTTGTAGTCACCATGAACATGTGTACCATAGTTAGTATCTACATATACCCCATGACCTTTAAAGTAACGTATAAAATTTGATTTTTCTACTTTTATTACTTCCCGAGCGTAAGCAAAGGAAGTATTGTAATCGAGTCCGTCGGCCGACTCTCTACTTTTACGTTTTCTCGATCTTTCATGACCTCTAGAAGACGAAGAAATAGGTCTCCCATTTCCGTCTGTCTGTCCGTCTGTCCGTCTGTCCGTCCGTCTGTCCGTCTGTCCGTCTGTCCGTCCGTCTGTCCGTCTGTCCGTCTGTCCGTCCGTCTGTCCGTCTGTTGTCCCGGATTTTTATTAGACAGATAATCTCCGAAAGTACTCGACCGATTGTTGTGAAATTTTGTACTTATATTAAGAATATCATGTAGATGGTAAAACGCTAACCAAAATTTGTCTAATCATCCCCACCACTAATGCGATGACGTCACTTCAAAATTGTACATAGTAAATGGGTTTTCAATTGTATAAAATAACATAGTCCTACACATGTAGTTTACAACTCTGAATCGACTTTTCACCCGAAACGTCCAGATTTTTGGAAAAAAAATCAAAATTATAAAACAATATTTTGAAATTTAATTTTTAATCTGCTAACCAGAATGCTTTGAAATGTTGCAGATGTTTTAAGGCTATAAAGAGCATCATAAATCTTTAGTCAAAAAATATTTGCTTATCCCCTCCAAAAACTTGATGACGTCAGCTCAAAAGTTTGTGGAATAAATCATATCTAAA